GTTAATTAACCCTAAGTTTGGGACACTCACTAAAAACAAGGTCTGCACATGAGGGTTCAATAACAATGGTTTAAAAACACTTAGAGGGGGAATGTCGGCCAGCAGGACACAGCAGATTATGTTCACACCACAATACCCTCCCTGGCCTTCCATCTTTTCTGCTGCTGGAAAAAGTGCTCATGTGAAGAGTAGTTCAGATGAGCTCTCTCTTTTCATTAATTACACAGAGAGACCCTGACTTTAACCTCCTTCTTTTTAACCTTCTTTTGAACAGTCCCCACAGAGCTGTGCAGTATGTGGCTCTTCTATGCCAGCTACATGGTGCCTCCCACCCATCCCCTGATGCACACACAGCAGTGACAGGCTGTTCTGCAGAACCACTTAGCCGCCCTTGTGGTATTTCATGTCAGGCTAATGTGCTGCTGATATAACAGGGCACTCCCTGCTTTGCAAATGCACACTGGTGGCATAGAGATATTCAGCTTGCCACAAGCAGGCGTTTGGCTTTGCCTCTCTAAAATGCTGCATGAGGGAGCAGGGATTTGAGCTGTGATACCCACGATGCATAGTTGTGCACCAAGAATATAGGACTGCGGCTCATCTTGCATTTAAATGAATGCAGTCAAATACCTCCTTATATTTCTTTTCTCTAATCACATTCCCAGCCATCAGCTTGCTGTTCATTTTCTGGGGTAAATACTCCATTGTTCTCTACTGTATGCCTAGCACAGCAATCTCAGATGATCTTCTACCACCTGTGTTAACACCCCCAGCCTGCCAGGCCTGCTAAAGGAAACGAAACAAGGCAAACACGTTGGCTAGTGTCACTGTTAAGGAGATTATTGAAGAACAAGCAAATATGCAAAAATGAGCAAATCTGGGAAAAATAGTTTGAATGGCCAGAGTTAAGAGGAGGAAAAAAATTTTGAACCTAAAGTTTATGCACACTTGGGATCAGAAAAATGTGGTAGGAGAGCCCTCATCACTAGAGTGCTGCAGGAAGGCAGGGGGAGGCAGAGCATCCCAGGTGAAGGATGGGTCCAGCAGCAGAGCATTCTGTTGTGGGACACAGGATGCAGCTGTCAAAGACTTGTGGGTTGTGACCAGGGGATGGAGTAACACAAGAGGTGGTGTGGGGGCATCTGCTGCTGACTGGCTCATGAAGAGATGAAGCAGCTCTTAGACAGTTAGAGGAAGCCTTATGATGGCAGGACCCTGTGTACCCACAGACCTTTTCCCACCAGCAATTGTTTCTGGAAGGGCACAAAATTGTTTCTGTGCACAAAACATCTGCTCTGAGTGGAGCCAACTGGGCAGCACACCCATCAGGGTGGGAGGCTGCTGCACCACAAGCAGGGCATGAATGGCAGAGGTGGTGATAGAGGGCAGGGCAAGCCACAGCCCAGCGATCACCCAGCAGGTTGACAGGGATGAAGGAGGTCAAGATTGAGACAGAAGTCCAGAATGTTGGTCAGGGTCAGCACCAGACCTCAAAAGCAGCTCTGATGTGACAGCCCCAGGTGAGGCTATTCCCTGCTCCTAACTTGAGCTGCTTCCCTGTAGCCTGATCCCAGGTATCACTGCACCAGGTAAACACTTGGCAGCCAGACCCCAAGGAGGACAGGGAGGACGCTTAGACCCCTGACATTGCAAAAGTGAAGTAGAGAAATGTCAGCAAATGTTTTCAGTGAAAAAACAACCCCCTTTGTGTCTTGTTTCCATACACAACCAGATGCCTTTGAGGACAAAAGGCACAAGGGCACAGGTACATTGCAGGGGCTGGTGGAAGGCAGAGGCTGGATATACAAAGACTGGTAATGAAGTAAGAAGAGCAAAATGGGAGCAATCTCTGCTCCCATTTGTCTGTCCCCTAGTCCTGATTTTCACTGGGGAGGACTATGTCCAAGGGTGGCATCCAGGATCACCTTTCCCCAGGCTCTCCTGGCTGCACCAGGACCGCTGCAGATTCCCAGACACACCTGTAAGCTGACTGCAGGCATCTTCTGAAGGGGCAGTCTGGTCTCAAGATTTTGTATTTCAGATGCAAATGCCACTGCAGGCTCAGAGGCCACTAACATGTGTAAGTCCCAGGGCAGCTGATGGATGCAACTTCATGAGAATAAATGCAAGCCCAGTAAAAACTGTCTGTGTGTCTCATATCCCACAACGGGGAAAATCAGTACAGCTTGTTACCATTATGCAAGAGGTTGGGAAGCATGCCCTCAATTCTTCTAGAATCAGCTCTTATTGTTGAAAATACAGAGTTTTTCCCTACTGTTTTGCTGTTGACTTTGTAAAGTTAAAAAAAAATAAAATTAAAAAATAAAAAAAAATCTGTGCCATCCAGGATATACTTATACCTGCTTGCTAAAGTGGATTCTTCTGTTGGCTACAGTTCCAACCCTGTACATGGCAGGAAGGCTAGCAAATCTGCACAAACAAACAAACAAACAAAAACCCAAACAAAAACAAAACCAACTTCACAACCCAAACCAAAACAACCAAAAGAGACTGGTCAGCTGCTTCTGCTTATTCCTTCTCAGAGCAGTAGGGGGAGAAAAGAGATCCACTTAAAATTCACCATGGTCAGTCTTTCTTACACTTGATTAGCCTGCACAAATAAATCCTCACCATCAGTCTCCCACGGCAATGTTCACTAGGACTTCCCTTCATTCAGCACAGGAAATAATCCTCTATGGGGTGATTGCAGTCCAAGAGACCAAAGAGGTTAATCTGAAACTAGCCTGTTGTAGCCAATAGTTTAATGCTTTTCCTCTAGAAAGGATGCATTGTGAGAGGATCTTGTGAGGCCAAGTGACAGTTACCTTGTACTACAGCACAACTTCAGCTAACTGCTCTGGGTAGTCATCTTTCTGCTGTATATAGCAGTGGATGACAACGTTAACTCTTCTGAAACACCAGCTGACCTGCTGCTGACCACTTGAAATTTCAGAATGTGGGCTGTAAAACAGTTCCTTCAGTCTTCCTTTCCCTCCCTACTACCACCAAAGTAAACTGAGGAATAATAAGACACCATATACTTGTTGAGACAAAAATGCCTCATATCTTTGGATAATATCTACCTCCCAGATTGCTCAGGAAGCTCCAGATCTGACTGATTCCACCAAGAAAACAAAACAAAAAAAAAATCAGTTCAGCTCGAGGTCTTTTAACATGGCTTGAGATTTTTTACAAAGACAGCAGAAGATCACAAAAAGAGTGTTAGTACTTCATGCTCCAGCTATTGTGCCATCCTAAGAGGAAAAATGGTTTCATGGCAACGGGTGGGGATGCAGTTTGTTTTCTGAATATCGTGGGGTTTATATCCAGCTCTCAGTCCTGATCTAGAAAAGTCTCTTAAGTCTAGTGTAAATGCCACTTCCCTGAAGGACTTCATCTGTGGAGCTTAGTTATCATTTGCACTGTAGACTCCTGGGGAGGGAGTTTAAGACATGTCCAACAGATGCTGTGTGCCACACTTGGCAAAACACTACTGGTAAGAAATGGCAGTTGGGCTGTTTTTCTTGATCAAAACTAATTACATGACCAATATTATATGGGTTGTGGCCACAAAACTTCTCTTTCTCTCACTAGATTTAGAAGTCATAAAATGCCACCAGCTATTTAGCAAGGAAATTTCTAGTGAGGAAACTTTTTCAAGGCAAGTAAATGTTGCAGCAGAATTTCTTGGTGTAAATGCTATTCCTATCCTTCCTTATGGCTACCCATTCATGAAAGAGCCAGATGCTTGATAACAATCATAAAACAGCCTGCTACAAGGAGCAAGTACATGGAAATTATCAGGCAGGTGAAAATGTGCCTTTCTAGCAATGTGATGAACTTCGTATTAGTAGTTACATTTCCTGTGTCATCATACATGGGCATGTGAATGTCATCTGAGTCGCTCCTACATACATATAATGCCATTTTGCAGATCCTGTGAAGTTGACTCCTCCATAGACTGAGGCTGGAAGAACTTGGGATGAAAACTGCAGCAGTCTGTGTACCAGGCAAATGTGTGTCCTTTGGCAAGTTATGACTAAGATCATAGAGTTTTTTCTTTGTCAAATGAAGCAATTTGGGGTTTTCTGTGCTAAAACAGGTAGGGTGCTTGCTTACCACTTCTTCTGCCTGTCGAAGACATAGCACCAATGCACTCTCAGTTTTATCCCTGCCCTTTCAAGCACACAAGTCCATGTTTCTACATGATACAAACACTAGCCCATCATCAGAAAGTCAAGAAGGTAAACCAGATTGAGGCCAGCCCTGTTTCTGGAGAGTGGAGATATTAATGTGCTCTGCTTATTTTTAGCAGAAGATGGTGGGTAAATCTGAGCCAGCACGTTTTTCGTTCAGTCTGTCCCTGGACACTAACAGATGCTGTTTCCTTGTGCCAAGCACTAACGCACTTTACACTGGCACTCAGTGTCAGGACACAAAGCCTGCCAAGTCCCTGCTAAATCTGCTGATGCCAGGAAAATTGGTAATTATCAGCTGGCCAGGGACACAGTCCCAAGTTTTTCCTCTACCTCCAAAGCAGCAGAGCAGCTGTGCCAGTGCAATTATGTCAGCTGGTCTCCATCTCATGGCTATACACACAACAAAGGAGGGTCCTGTGCTGAAGCCACAGACACAGGTATGTATCTAAAGATGGAGAGAGACCCATCTGCTTCATGGGAATTAGCTGTGTGCTTAAAACGGGGCTTTGAGAACCCTGACAGCTTCTGCCTTAATACTCAAACATCTGAAGTAATGACAATTAATACAAAAAAAAATAATTCTAAAGATACACGAATATATATATATATATGTATGTGTGTGTACACATCACCTGGCAGGGTGATTCTATTGTTTAGCACTTCTTAGTACCCCTTGAGCATTGAACATACTAAATTCAGTCTTAAAGGTCCACTTCCTGTGGCTCCTATGTATGATAAGGTCACCTACAAAAGAAAAATCCAGAGACACTTCTGAGGAGCTCCCTCCCATTTTACCGGTCATTGTGTTTATTCTTTGAATACGAGCATCCAAAATTCCTGAGCTGTAAAATTCCTGTTCCTTTCCACCAGGTGCCTCAGCGCCAAGGCTTCTTTCTTGGATTGCTCAAAGCTTGCTTTCCACATCTCTTGGAGAGACGTCCAGCCAGGGTTTGAAGACGAGAACCAGAATGCCTCCGGTTTGGGGCAGCTCAGATGGTTAACCTGAGCTTTCCACCTCTGGGGCTGTTGTCCCTGGCAATGGAGAGAAATAAAGCAGGTTATTCAGGGACTCTGGCAGACAGCAAAGAAAGGTGCTATTCTATTTGTAAACTATAAAAGCATGTCAGTGACATCTTCCTTCCCACTACAGGCTGTAGACATGTCCCTGTGGATGTTAAAGGGGATGCTTTCTCCAAAACGTCCAGGACAAGGCGAGAATAGAGCTGACAAGAGCCAGAGTCTCAGATCAGGTCTGGCTGAAAATGAGCAGCACCAGCTCACCCAAACTGAAATTGTAAGGTAAGGAGACCTGTTTTCGTAATTATATTCTGGTTTAATCTTAAATTTGTACACATTTAATGAGATCCTTTATAAGGAGAAGTAAAAAGAATCCATGAATCTGACCAGGACAGCAAACTGATTTTCATAGTCTTCTTGACTAGAATGCCAGAAAAGCATGAGGAAGGAGTATCTATATCTAACATATTCTACTCCCTTCCATGGTTGTATTCCTAACTCAGAGAGGACTTCTGTCCAGATTTGCACCAGATTAAAAACAGGAAAGCCTGATTAAATGTAATACTTACCTATTTGCACTCTCCATCACTTCAGCTGACCTTAGTAACTTAAAATGCTTTCTTCTTTTCCCTTCTACTGGCTGATGACATTGATACTGCTCAGACTGTGAACTATATATGGCCTAATGGATACAGGACAGGTGTAGGATACTAGAGATATTGGAGAGTTTCATTACTGGGCACAAAAAGGGGTTTTTGATTCATGCTGATAACTAAGCTTATGGAGCATTTAAGAGATGGCTACTGATTCTTGGTACACAAACATGAAAGCTTTAAAGGAATGTGGCAATTAAAATGAGCATCCACCAACTCAGATATATATGTGTTTTTTGCTTCATAGAATCATCACAGTTGAAAAAAACCTACAAGATCATAAAGTCCAACCCTACAATCCGTAACCACCAAAACATCTCCTGAAACACTATGTCTACCCATTACTTGAATGTCTCCAGGGATGGTGTCTCCGCCTACTCCCCGGGCAGCCTGCTCCAATGTCTCACCACTCTTTCTGTGAAGAAATTCTTCCTCATATCAAATCTGAACCTCCCCTGGCAAAACTTGACCCCATTTCCTCTTGTGCTATCGCTGGTCACTAGGGAGAAGAGGCCAACACCCACCTCACTACAATGTCCTCTAAGGTAGCTGTAGAGGGCAATGAGGTCTCCTCTCAGCCTCCTCTTCTCCAGGCTGAACAGCCCCAGCTCTCTCAGCCCCTCCTCATAAGATCTGTTCTCCAGACCCTTAATCAGCCTATTTGCCCTTCTCTGCACCCTCTCCAGCACCTTGATTTCCTTGCTATACTGTGGTGCCCAAAAACTGCACACAGTGCTGAAGGTGCAGCCTCACCAAGGCAGGATCACCTCCCTGGTCCTGCTGGTCACACTATTCCTGATGCAGGCCAGGATGGTGTTGGCCTTCTTGGCCACCTGGACACACTGCTGGCTCATGTTCAACCAGCTGCCAATCAACACCCCCAGGTCTCTCTCTGCTGGGCAGCTCTCCAGCCACTCCTCCCCAAGCCTGTAGTGCTGCTGGGGGTTGTTGTGGCCAAAGTGCAGGACCCGACATTTGGCCTTATTGAATCTCGTGCCACTGGCCTTCATCCATCTGTCAAGCCTGTCCAGATCCCTCTGCAGAGCCTCCCTGCCCTCAAGCAGATCGAGACTCCTACCCAGCTCAGTGCCATCTGCAAACTCACTGAGGTGCACTCTATCCCGTCATCCAAGTCATCAATAAAGATGTCACACAGGAGGAGCCCAGCACTGAGCCCTGGGGAACACCACTTGTGACTGGCACCAACTGGATTAAACTCCATTGAACACAACTCTCTGAACCTGGACACCCACCCAGTTTTTATCCAGCAAAGCGTGGGCCCATCCAAGCCATGAGCACCAGCTTCTCTAGGAGAATGCTGTGGGAAACCTTGTAAAGGCCTGGCTAAAGTCAAGGTAGACAACATCCCCAGGCCTTCTCTCAGCCAAAAAGCAGGTCACCCTGTCGTAGAGATGACATTAGTTATTACTGAGCGAGAAGGGTGGCCGAGACTCTATCTCTACACTGACTTGTGGATGGCAGCAAATGCCTTGTGGGGCTGGCTAAAGCAGTGGCAGCAGAACTGGCAGTGAAAAGGTAAACCTGTTTGGATTGCTGACCTGGGGAAAGACATTGCAGCTCGGATAGAGAAACTGGTGGTAGAGGTGTGTCATGTAGATGCACATGTGCCTCTGAGTCGAGCCACTGAGGAACATCGACACAGCCAGCCAGCAGATGAGGCTGCCCAAGTGTTCCAAATAGATTTAGACTGGGAACATAAGGGTGAGCTCTTTCTGGCTTGATGGGCCCATGATGCTTCAGGTCACCAGGGCTGAACGATCTAATAGTATATAACTGCCTATGGCAGCACTGAGCGGAGTCTTAAAACACCTCCAAAAACAGAGATCCCACAAATTCTCTGGGCAGGCTAAAGCAAGTCAGCAAGTTAGGATACTTCCTGTAGCCTGACAAAATCCCTCTCTCTGAATAGTTCAAGTCTTCTACTGAAATGACCACCAGCTCAGGAGTTGATGTACTCATTGAGCTTATGGACTTGTGCAGAATGAGGGACACATGATCTGGCCATGCATCCACACCTTCTGCTAACACCTATTGAAGTGAGGATACACAGCCCAGTGGTACTGCAATAGCAATGGTTGCAAGCTAGTCAGAATTGTGGTAATTACACATCCTGTGAGAAATACAAGCCTTTTAAAGCCTCTCTGAGACAAAAAGTCACAAGTACCTTTTCTTTCCTTCTGATGTTTTCCCACACTCTGTTACACACCATGCACTCAAAGGTGTCAATGTAATTGTCCTGGGCCATATCCTGCACTCCCCACTTGCGTTCCTTCATTGCTGTAAGCAGCCTTGGATTGGAAATGTCCCCTTTCAGTTTCCATTCTAGGTAGGACTCATATTCTTGATCATTTGTATCCAGAGTTTTTATATAGTGGGCCAGCTCTCGTGGGTGTGAAAAACTGGATGCCAGGATTGCACTCTTGTTACTAGGAAGCCAGTCTACGATGCTGGGAGACCCAAAGTACACTGGTACCACTCCCAGCTTCAGTGGCCGCCAGAGTTTTTCAGTGATGTAATCTTCACAGATAGCATTTTCAAAAGCAAGAATGAACTTGTACTGTGCCAGTATTTCATGAAAGCTCACATCATCCATCGCAGCTGGATTTCTGAGATGCTGAGGAAGGTCTCTGTTATGCAGGCATTCCCCGTAAGAGTCTACTTCAATGTGGCACATCAGCTCACGCACATAGCTGTCACGGTCAGAAGGAGGGTTGCAGTCAGACTGCACGTACACAAGTGGTGCCAGCTTCTTCCTCAGGCTGTTCTTCATCTGCAGTGGGATCATGTACCGCAGCGACTTCAGGACCTCAACACCCTCAAGGTACTGAGTTGTCAGCGGTAGGTGTGAATGGCGGCTAAAGGTTGCAGTGTGGTTGAATAAGGTGATGGTCGGTTTGTGGAAGAGTTTGTAGTTATTTTTTGGTGACTCTTCATGGAAAAGGGCCCACTCATGATAGTCTTTACGAGGGAGGGGTAGGCTGTCTATACTGAAGTCAGTACCTAGGCAAAAGCAAACAGTGTTTAGTCTGCGCCTATTGACCATGCCACGGTAACTACAATGACACACAAGTCTGGTTTCAGTTCAGTATCAGCCCTACAACCATCACATTTATAACACTGCGTGGCAATACTGCAAAGAGAGCAATTCATGCAAGGACAAAGAGGTCTTATGATAAAACTGAATCTGGCAGACAAGGAACCTAGAGAAAGGGAATTAGTGGTGAGTATTAGAAATAGTTTCCTTTTAGGTCATATTAGTTTAAAGGTGTGTCATTTCAAAGGGTCGCTAGGAATTTTATATTTTAATGCACTGAAATGACACTAAAAAGATGCTTAATAATCCCTTGGTTCTGTAAATAGGGCAACAGATGGTATTGCATCTATCTATGATGTGAAGGAAATGCTGACTGCAGAGCTCAGTTTGGTTCTAGTAACAAAAAGGACAGTAAAACATTGGACAGAGTTAATAAGAAAAAATACAGGAAAGACTTCAAGTCTTGGGAAGACATTATACTACAGACACTTTGGAAGCCAATCTACTTAGTTTATCAAAGAGATAATTAACAGGTATCACAGATGCCTATGAGATACATAAGTAAGTAGCTTCTGGCAGAAGACAGCTCCCCAAACTTATTCCAATACTAGAAGAACAACCACGTCTTAACTTTAAAAACAGATCACTTAGTAAATAAGGAGATAATTAGGCAAAGAGGAACCTAAAGAAAAATGCACTATAGATCACAGAACACCAAAATGCTTGATTCTGATGTAACATTTAATCAGTCTGAGTCCAGCAAGAAGATAAAAAGCTTTTCAGATTAAAGGGAAGATAACATCAGCATGTTCCCTATCCTGTGAGATGAAGGAAATTAGAACAATGAGGAAATAAGAGAGGACAAAGAAAGTACAAGACTATAACTACAGTACTACGAATTAGAAATTCTTAGATGTGGCAACGTGCAGAAGAGAAAGACAGATACTGTCAGAAGTTCTGTATCTTAGGAGACATCTTTCATTCAGGATTCATACTCTAAGGACTCAATGCTCCAAGGCAGAAAAGCCTGGACATCCTCTGCCCTTAGGAGCAAGACCCCATAGGCTCTGGCAGAATGATGCCAGATCCAGCTCATGCTGACTCAGTTGCACTGGTGCTTTATGCTACATGCAAAATTCTGTGAAGCATGTGACACTGAAATGGTGTGCTTTTTCTCCTAAAAGCAGAGACAAAATTCTGCAAGTGGATGCCATGTCTCACTTCCAAACAGGACATGGAGGCACTAGGCAAAGTCATCCCCTACACCTAAGGGCTTCCCAGGCCAGGACAGTAAGTCAGGACAAACTGCAGAAAACCAGGTGCTCCTAGCAAAGCAGTTCTGCTGGAAAATATCTGTACCCCATATTTTTGTGCAATATTTTTCCTAGCTTTTGGATCATTCTTCTCTTGACCAGCTCACTGATGCAATATTAGGGGAAAATCAATGCAACTTCTTTCGAATGTGAAACTGCCCTGATCCAAACATAGCATGGAAATGCTCAATGATGATGTTCAAGATGTTCAAGTTTTCCCTCCGCAGGCTGTTTAGAGGGAAATTCTGGAACACCAAAATCTGCCTTTTTGCAGGCTCATAGCTCAGTGCATCAGGGTCTGTGTTTGTGAAACTTTTCTGAATGGATGCAGCATTTTTTTTCACCCTCAATGACATCTGTGACCTTTGGCTCTGCAGGATTTATTATTGTGAGATCACTTATTTTGGTTTTAAAATAACGAATATTTTTGCGTATTTTGACATGTCTTTACACAGTTCATAGCCAGAATCATGAGAAAAAAGAAAAAAAAAAACCAACATGAAAGAGACAGTCTTTTGCCCAGCATTATAGTCCTTTAAAAACAAGTAAGTAACCTACATCCACAACCATGCTAAAAATTAACAGTAATAGCCTTTCCAATGCTGAAACAGACAAACAGAATTACTACTAGAGACCAAAACCACCAGACTTTACTGCTTTCATGTGATGCAAACCCAGCTTTCCTTGGTTTTAATTGGGTCAGCTTCTCATTCCTTTGCTGTTAATTCCTTCACTTTCATGCTCAACCACTGTATTATCAACTGACAAAGCCAGCCTCCTTGGAACTCTGAAAAGACTAGTGATGAGAAGTTTTTCATCCACTGTTAACAATGAAGCTAAAGGCCCTTCTTTCACATCTTTCCAGTTCACCTGTATCCTGACTCTGTGAATGAGATGCAGGATTGTTTTATTTTGTTTTGTTTCCAGAAAAAGGAGCTGAAGCTACCAGGCACAGAAAAGCATTCTGAAGCATTGGCTTCATTTTTCCACCTCAGATTAACTTTTTATCTGAAAAGCAGCTATGGGAGAGGGAGGGGGAAATTAAAACAAACAACGTAAGACCTACTTTTTAAAGATTAATCTTTTGTGTTATGTATACTCACTTTACAGAATAAGTAATGGGAAGTCTCTGAGGCAGCAGAGCCAGAGCAGCTCAGAAGGTTGCACTAGCTGCTGCTCCCTGTGCAAAATCAATAGGTTTCTTTCACTGCTTTCCATTTACAGTCTGCTGGCAACCTCTCAGTACATAAGGCAAGGGAGTCACAGTTACCAGCAAGGGCATTATTTTTAGACAAAAGACTTCAGCAAGTGCAAAAAGGGCTTTACAGAACCTCTGCTAGGGGTGACAAGCTAGAAGACTGGAAAAAGCTGGCTTGATCTCAGACTTTCTTTTCATGACTTGGCAGCTATGGGAAATGATCACAGGAGCACGTGATTGGAAAGCAGCATGAGACAAGACAACAGTCGTCCCACAGACACACAGTCACTTTGCAGAGTACTTTTTCAGAGAACACTTTTTCAGAGAACATGCCTCTCTGGATCTCTGCTGATGGTATACAGCACCAGGCAAAGTCCAGCACAATTAACTGCTCAAGTTTCTCGAGCTCAGTGATTGAAATCTAGAATATTTAACCTCTAAAGGAAAATAACTGGGCAGGAGAAAAAGTTACTGCTTAAAAAATAAATAGATTCTTACCATAAAACAGAAATGCTCTTGTCATCTCATTATGCTGGTAGGTCTTGTTGACAGTAAAGAAGCAAACATCCTCTCTGCACTGACCCAATCTCCCTGTCTCTCCAGTCAGGGGAGACCACCAGAGCAGGATGGGGTAATGATTTACATCAGACTCTGTCTTCAATCTCATGTGAAGCTGCTTCTTAAACTGAAAAGGATGTCTCTCCACAGGTTTTAATGGGCCACCGTGTAAACTGGAGTTTACTGCCACCTTCTCTGAATTGACCAGTTCAGTGATAACCTTCAGGGAAAAAAACATACGTATCACAGCATATCACTGTCATTAGCCAGGACATCTGCTTGACAAATCAGAGTTCAAGCACCAAGCATTAACTAAGTCTGCATGTGAAAGTTTCTGTCAATCAAAGTGCATGCATTTCACTGACTGCAGCCACCATCCAAGTGATCTTATGTCAGAACAGCAAAAACTTTACAATTAATTTGCAAGGAGGAGGAAGTACATTTCTGTAGTGAGATGTGGCCGCTTTGTGTATGATTTAACAACACAATTTCTGCTTTCTCCCTGGAAAAAGCACAAAGCAGAAAACAGCCAGGTTTCTCCTGGAAATCAACTGAAGAAAAACTCATAAGGTTTTAATGTCTCCATGTTGGTCATCCATACTCACTCCTATTAATTTTTACAACACTGACTGAATAAACCAGGTGCAGACAGGTCTTAAAAGACAACGTAACTACAACTTCATAACTAGTTACAGGAGAAAATGTATGTGGAGATGTGAAAGACCTACTAGTATAGACCATCATTTGCACAGCTGAAAGCCTATGAGGAAACCTTACAAATTCTCCACGCATAGAACATAAGAAACATCTCTAACCATCAGCCACGAGACAGAAGTACTCAGAAAATCTGGGGATATCTAGTGCCCATGAAGCTACCACTCCTTTCTACAGGTAGTACCTGCCATGTCCTAGAGAATCCTGTTGAGCAAAAGGACAAAAACAGTGCCAGCAGGTATTGCCACAGGATACACAGCTCCTGCTCTTGTCTTTAATAAGGCAAAGACCTTCCTGTTACCATGCAAACTGTTTTCTGAGCATCCACCTTCACAGCCAGCGCATAATGCCACCCCAGGAACAGCAGTAAGAATGATAGGGGAACTCAAACCCACCAGAAAGGTTTGGCCACAGCATTTTTGCTTGTCAGATGGCTCTGAAGGAGGATATTGGAAAACAGAAGAGTGTTGTTTATATCAAGTTGTTTCAAAACATTTATCTTCCCTCACATCTTCATGGCACATGTTCATTTTGCTGTTTGTTGTATCATTTACTCTCACTGTGTAGCAAAATAAAGATTGTGGCCAGACTAAAAAGGCTTTTCTCAACAGGGGGACACCAGGACAGCACACACACAGGGGGCTGTGCAAAGTGCAGCTGTACAGAAATACACAGAAAACACTCCCACATTTGCGAGTGGACAAGACATCACCTGGGGAAAAGATTCATATGTTTAATAATTTGACAAGACATAACTGCAGCAATTATAATCAAAATAAGTTTATAACTACCTTATGTCCAGGTTTCTGCAGGAACATGCTGCTTCTCTGCTCCCAAATTTTGCCGTGGCAGAATTTGAGGAGTCTCTGTAGAGAATTTCTTGTAGGTCTCTCTGAACTTCTGAGGGTCGATACACCCCAACTCTATCAACAGCTCATGTGCTACAGCAGTCCCAGCACCAGGTCACCAAGATTCACAGTTCAGTGAACAATCCCAGACAAAAATCCCAGTGAGGCACAGGGAAGTTCTAGCCAGCTTCAAACCTGCTTACCCATGGAGGTGCAGTAGAGTCACAAACCCTGCCAGTAAAGGTCCTTAAGACTTGCTAGCACTGTATGCTAGGGCAGCCATATCACCTCTGGATGCCTTGTTCAGAGGAACAGAACTGAAAGTGGCTGCTGAGTGTCAGTGACTGCCCCCAAGAAATGGCTCCTATTTGGCACAGGCACCTAACCTGGGACAGCTGCCTCCAACAGGAGTTACCAGAGGTACTGGTCCAAACCAGAGCCTCAATTCAGAGCACAGCCCAAGCTGAAAGACATCTCTGGGGCAGATCCTGGCCCTCTCATGACCGAAGTCTCCTGCAGTCTCATGACAGCCAGCCAAGGCTGAGTCAATTTATCAAAAGTTGTTCTCTTCTAAAAAAAATCTAAGGTAACCTGCACCAGCTACCAAATAATATACCTCCACATGTACTTTTATCTCATACATTTCTTTACTGATCAGCTACTGGACGTCCCAACACTAAGAATGGCCTTTGAGTCAGGACTGATGGCCAGATTTCCATCACCAATAACTTACGTGCTCAGATTTCTTCTGTGTGTCCATCACATTAGTATGAAATGGGACCAACCTTGCCTTCCTGCCTCGTGAGTTCAAACACAGGAACAGGGGAGGCACTACTGGATGGAGACAACACAACACAGCATGGTGCAGCACACCACTCCTGAGAAACTCCTCCAGGAACCAAGAAGCTCTACAAGGAAGGTGCTCTCTGTGTAATGCCACTTCTGGAATCAGTTATTACCACAAAGCCAATGCTGCTAATGGAGTTTCTTTAAACTATCTTGTTAAAGCAGACTTGTAGGAAAAACATCTGTCTTTAATGCTCTCCTTCATCTGCCAGAATTGTGTCATACTTTGAGAGCGATCTCACACATACCTTCCCCCCTTGCCCTGTACCTGGATTGTCACCACAAGGAGAAAGGCAGCTGCAAAGCAGAAGCAAGATGCCCACAGTTTCTTCCTCCGCATCCTAATCATGCTGTTCTGCCAGGTCTGCCAGAGCACTCAGAGGTAGGCATCAGGAAGGCAGGCTTGTCTAAAGTCTTCAGCCTTTGCTGCAGGGCTTTCCCACTCCATCCTTACTCTTCTTGAGATGGCTGCTGAAAATGGGTAGAGCATCAAGAAAGAGCACTCCTCAAGCTCAGTCATTAACCTGATGTTTACCGATAGCTTTCTGCAGGTGCCAAAATCACATTTTGAGCCAGGTATCCCATAAGTTCCCTGCATAAACAACACTCTCTTGTACAGCCCCAGGCATCTACTCTCCCTCTGGTCATCCTGCACTTGGCATCCTCTCTGAGCAGGATCACACATGCTGTCAAACTTGCAGTCAGCACAGAGATGATGATGGGCCTGGCTGTCCTGTGCAGGAAGGGCAGCTGTTGTTCTGAGTTTCAAGCAGCAAACTGTGCTGCTTTTCAGTAGACTTACAAACAGCAAGGAAAGACCTTCCTTCCCTAGGCAAGCCCTAGAAATGCTCCACGGGGAGGCACAGAACTGGCTGGGCCTTGGGACTTACTACACTGCAGTCTTCTGGGCCTTGTGTTCACCAGCATATCTATCTCAATGTATGGAGAAAGTAATCATACAGCACACACACAAATTCTGTCCACACCAAAAAACATTTAACAAATTTCCCTTTCCCTGTAATCTTCATCTGTGCTGGTAAGCCTCTCCTCAAATAACTCTTCGCCTTCCCTAATGCTTTTTCAGCTTTCACAGTGCCCTGCTGTCTTGCTGCATGCTGGATGTTATCATGTGAAAATCCCGACTCCTGACAAAGGTGCAAATTCCAGCTTCATCTTAAAAAAATAATATTAAAAAAAAAAAAAAAGATAGGAGAAAGATAAGGCTTTATTTCTCAACATACAGCAGGAAAGTTTGAAAAGACAGGTATTCTGAAAGCTCAGAAAGCAGAAATGCACACCCAAAAATGTTTAATAAATCGCTCTTTTAGAATGTAGCTCCCTCAGAGATGCACCTCCTGTTTCCTATGAAAAGAAGATGTATGTGATTATATTGTCTCCATGTGCTTGCACCTGTCAGCTTTCCCCCCATCTAGTACCAGTCATAAGGCTCCAAAAACTTGACAAAGGGGGATGGATGCCAGGTCTGCTGCCTCACATAGTACTACCTCTGTGGTGCTGGCAGCTAGAGACAGAATTATCCTGTTTCTGCTTCCACAGCAACATGAGTTCATTCCTTCCCAACAACCATCAGAAAAGCCTCTTCAGTAAAACCTCACACAAAACCATGCTGTGCGAGCTCTGCTCCACAAGGGACAGCTGCTTCTGAAGGTTTTGTGCGGGCATAAAACTGCTTGCCTGCCAGTTGAGCACTTCCTCAGATCAGGCAGAACCTTCTACAAAGCCCCTGCACCTTCTGTGCCTCCTGCAGGACAGCCAAAATGGGGCACCAAGAGGGAAAGGAGCTGAATTCTGCCCACAACCGTCTTGGTGAAAACCTACTCGAGGTACCCCCAAGAGCAGAACAGTATCTTTAATACCACGTTTTACCCTGCGAATGGCAAAAGGGCAGACTTCTAATACCCACTGCACGCCTCCTTACTCCCCCAAAGACCAGTAATAGTCCCACTTTTAGGTATCCTGTCCCAACTTCTCTGGCAAAGGTGGCCCTGGAGGACCTTCCCACCTCGGCCAGGCCAACAACAGGCCATGAAGACCTGGAGGGAAGCTCCCCTGCGAGTCCTTCCAAACCCCTTACCCAGCTCTACAGGCCGCCCGTTCTTCCAGCCCCATCTCGCTGCATCTCCTCCGGCT